CCCCCCGCCCCCCCCCGTTCTTTCCCTTGGGGGGGGGGGGTACAGCATCCTTCCTTTCGAGGGGCATTAAAAACGTATTCGGGGGGGGGGCTTTAGGATTTAATGCAGTCCCTAGTTTCCACATGCGGTGGCTTCTGAAAATCCGTGGAGGAGAGTTGCTTTATATGGTTTACCCCGCTCTAAGGAAGGTATCCCAGATTCCTTCCCCCAGGGCCTTAGGAGTGGTACTCAACAAACAGGAACCAATCCTAGCGTTATGGAGTCGGCAGATGGCTATCATGCACAAGGGTATCATCGCATGCATGCCTGAGATCTGTGTCCCAAATGCCTTTGCAGGACACAGCTATCTCTGGCTACTAGCCCTGGTGACTAGCCCCGGAACCATCACGTTCAGAGGTATTCAACCTCTGAATCCCAGTGCCAGGAGGTAGCATCAGGGGAAGGCCTCGGCATCTCTGTCCTGTTGCTGGCCCTCCAGAGGAACTGGCTGCCCCCTGTGTGAGATGGGAGGCTGGACTAGAGGGACCCTCACTGGTCTGACCAAGCAGGGCTCTTCTGAGGTTCTTATCAGGGGAAGGCCTCGGCCGCTCTGCCCTGTTGCTGGCCCTCCAGAGGAACTGACTGGCCCCTGTGTGAGACAGGATGCTGGACTAGATGGACCCTCCCTGGTCTGACCCAGCAGGGCTCTTCTGATGTCCTTATCAGGGGAAGGCCTCGGCCTCTCTGCCCTGTTGTTGGCCCTCCAGAGGAACTGGCTGGCCCCTGTGTGAGACAGGAGGCTGGACTAGAGGGACCCTCACTGGTCTGATCCAGCACGGCTCTTCTGATGCCCTTCTCAGGGGAAGGCCTCGGCCTCTCTGCCCTGTTGTTGGCCCTCCAGAGGAACTGGCTGGCCCCTGTGTGAGACGGGAGGCTGGACTAGAAGGACTCTCACTGGTCTGATCCAGCAGGGCTCTTCTGATGCCCTTCTCAGGGGAAGGCCTCGGCCTCTCTGCCCTGTTGTTGGCCCTCCAGAGGAACTGGCTGGCCACTGGGTGAGACGGGAGGCTGGGCTAGAGGGTTTTTTTAGGAATGTCTGGAATGGCAAGAGCTCTCTGGCAGTGACGTGTGCAGCAGAGGCCACGGGGAGCATCCCCACTCACCTGTGAAGCCTCTCGTCCTCCCAGGGGCTGGTGGCGGAACAGAGCCGAACGTGCGAGGGTAGACGGGCATCGGGTAAAAGGGCGGGGCCATGGAGGACACAAAGGGCGGGGGTGGGAGGAGAGGGGGCGGGGCCTGGCGGTTGAAGTTGATGCCTTCCAGGATGCTCTGCTTCATCTTCTCCACTTTGGAGACTTGCTCGGTCTTTGGCGGATGACGTGGTACACGGAGAGAGACACAACAAGAATCGCCGTTTTGAGTTTTGGTGTGTGTTTTTTTAAAAAAAGAGATCGTTTTCTTATTTGCATACGGGCAGAAACGATAAGATAGAAGACATTCATATTCACACACCATCAGGAGGATTCTTAAGCCGCTGAAGCTGCCGTCGAGTTGCAACTGACCCGTGGCAACGTGCCCTCATGGGGTTTTCAAGGCCAAGAGGTGAGCAGAGGTGGTTGGTCACTGCCTCCCTCTGCATAGCAACCCTGGCCCTCTTTGGTGGTCTCCCATCCAAATTCTAACCATGGCCGACCACAGAGTTGGGCAAAGGATGGGAGAAGAAGCGGGGCCATAAATGGAAATAAGGGATTTCATAGGATCACAGAGTTGGAAGGGACCTCCAGAGTCATCTAGTCCGACCCCCTGCACAATGCAGGGAATTCACAACAACCCCCCCACCCCCAGTGTCCACGCCTAGAAGATGGCAAAAAACCTCTAGGCTCTCCAGCCAAACTGGCCTGGAGAAAATTTGCTTCCTGACTCCCAAAGTGGCGATCAGCGTTTCCCTGGGTACATAAGAAAGGGCCATGAGAACTGAGCACTGAGGCAACCCTTCCTGCCCTCCCTTCTCATGATCTGTCCAAGTTCACAGAATCTGCACTGCTGTCAGATGGGCATCTAGCCTCTGCTTGAAAACCTCCAAAGAAGGGGAGAGCCCACCACCTCCTGAGAAAGCCTGTTCCACTGAGGAACCCTTCTCTAACTGTCAGGAAGTTCTTCCAGATATTTAGCCAAAAACTCTTCTGATTTAATTTCAACCTGTTGGTTCTGGTCGGACCTTCTGGGGCAACAGAAAAAAACTCCGCACCATCCTCTGAATGACCAGCCCTTTGAGTACCTGAAGATCATATCACCTCTCAGTCGTCTCCTCTCCAGGCTAAACATACTCGGCTCCTTCAGCCTTTCCTCACAGGACTTGTTCTCCAGACCCCTCATCATCTTTGTTGCCCTCCTCTGGACACCTTCCAGCTTGTCTAGATCCTTCTTAACTATGTGTGCTATCCTAAACTCTTTGGAGGTAGGGTGGGATTTGAATAAAGGTCTGAGATAGATGCCCTGGCCTGGATGGCCCAGGCGAGCCCAGTCTCATCAGAGCTGCGAAGCTAAGCAGGGACTGATCACTGCCTGCTCACATCTGGATTGATCATTCATTCATTCATTTATCTATTCAATTCAACTTGTTAGGCCGCCCTTCCCTGCAAGCACGGCTCAGGGCAGCTTACGTCAGAAGAAACACAATGATAATCCATTAAAATAAGATTGACAACTACTAAAAACCACATATTTCTCAAGCAAAGAGAGAAGAAGAAGAAGAGATTGGATTTATACCCCGCCCTTCACTACCCAAAGGTGTCTCAGAGTGGCTGACAAACTCCTTTCCCTTCCCCTCCCCACAACAGACACCCTGTGAGGTAAAAGAAGAAGAAGAGATTGGATTTATGCCCCACCCTTCACTACCCAAAGGTGTCTCAGAGAGGCTTACAAACTCCTTTCCCTTCCCCTCCCCACAACAGACACCCTGTGAGTTAGGTGGGGCTGAGAGAGCTCTTGACAGACACTGCTCTTTTTCAAGAACAGCTCTTATCAGAACTAAGGCTTGCCCAAGGTCATCCAGCCAGGTGCAAGTGGAGGAGTGGGGAATCAAACCCGGTTCTCCCAGATTAGAGTCCGCGCACTTAACCACGACACCAAACCACTACAATTTCATTATCTGAGATGGCGAGAAATGTCTGTTCCCACCAGCACCCTGGATGAGGGGCTGCAGAGGTGTGTGGGGTGGCATGCCAGTGCCAACCGTCGCTGTCCCTAATCAAAGGCCTGGTGGAACATCTGGGAGACCACCAAGGAATACCAGGGTCGTGACACAGGGGCAGGCGGTGGCAAAAACCACCTCTGAACGTCTCTTGCTTTGAAAACCCCACCAGGGGTCGCCATACATCAGCTGGGACTTGACAGCAAAAACAGCAGCAGCAGCAGCGGCATGAGACAGGCAGGCAGATTCTACTCCTGGGGGGGGGGGCAAAACAACGCAGAGCGGAGCAGGTGTTTCCCCGAGCAGAAAAGGCCTCACCTCGATCATGCTGCTGTCCACGGGACTGATAGTGCTGACCATGTGGACGTTCGGGGTCGAAGTGGAGCGGTGCCGTTGGAGACGCTGCCCGTCGCCGTGGACGCTGGGGAAGGTGAAGGCTTCTGGGCTGTGGAGTGGCTGTTTGTGCAGGCTGGAAGGGAAAGGACACGGTGGGGAACACTTTACACCCGCGCCGGGTAGACCAGCCCGATCTTCTGGCACCACAGGGGAGCTCTTCCCTGTCTCGGATGGGGCTATACTCCCCTTGAACAACCAGGCTCGGAGACCGGGTGTGCTGTCGGACACGGCAGTCGCCTTAGGAAACCAGGCGGCTGCAGTGGCACAGAGCACTTTTGCCCACGTTTGGCTTGTGCATTAAGCTGCACATGTTACTGGGTCAGTTAGATCGAGGGACAGTCATCCACGGGATCTTGCCAGATCTCAGAAGCTAGACAAATAGAGGGGGATTGCAGTATGGTAATGATATACACAAGATAGAACTACTGCAAACTGTGCATTATCAAATTTATATTAATGCAATTACAACGTATCTGACCATAAATTCACATATGTTTTACAGAAAACAAAAGCCAAATTCCAGAAGACGAAAATAGACGAAAATTATTGCTGGGTGAATTTTCCCGTAATGAATACTTGATATGTTTCTTGTTAGGAGGTTTTTTGTTTGAAAGAGATGCCTCGAAACGAATTTGAACTCCGGGGGAGTTCATCCATTTTCGTCTTCTGGAATTTGGCTTTTGTTTTCTGTAAAACATATGTGAATTTATGGTCAGATACGTTGTAATTGCATTAATATAAATTTGATAATGCACAGTTTGCAGTAGTTCTATCTTGTGTAGATCTCAGAAGCTAGGCAGGCTTAGTTCTTGGCCGGAGACCACCAAGGAAGTCCAGGGGTTGCTACTTGGAGGCAGGCAATGGCAAACCACCTCTGCCTCTCTCTTGCCTTGGCCTGGATGGCCCAGGCTGGCCCGATCTCACCAGAGCTCAGAAGCTAAGCAGGGCTGGCCACAGTTAGTAAGACGAGGGACCACCGAGGACGATCAGGGTTGATATGCGGAGACGGGCAATGGCAAGGCCACCTCTGCTCATATCCAGCCCCGAAAACCCCTTGAGGGGCCTCTGTAAGCCCCAAAGGGCTTTATTTATTTATTTATTTATTTATTAGATTGGATTTACTAGGCCGCCCTTCCCTACAAGTAGGGCACAGAGCAGCTTGCAACAAAATAATATACAATCTCAGATTAGAAGTAAGTTAAAACAAGCCAATAAATAGGTGAAGGTAAAGGTTTCCCTTGCTCGAAAGCCAGTCGAATCCAACTCTAGGGTTGCAGTGCTCATCTCCGTTTCCAAGCCGATGAGCCAGCGCTGTCCGAAGACATTTCCGTGGTCATGTGGCCGGCACTGCTAGACGCCGAGGCGCACGGAACACTGTTACCTTCCCACCAAGGTAAAAAGGTAAGGGTTCCCTTGCTCGAAAGCCAGTCGAGTCCGACTCTAGGGTTGCGGTGCTCATCTCCGTTTCAAAGCCGAAGAGCCAGCGCTGTCCGAAGACGTTTCCGTGGTCATGTGGCCGGCATGACTAAACACCGAGGCACACGGAACGCTGTTCCCTTCCCACCGAAGTGGTCCCTATTGATCTACTTGCAATTTCTTGCTTTCGAACTACTAGGTTGGCAGGAGCTGGAACTGGAGACGGGAGCTCACTCCATCATGCGGCACCCGGGTCTCGAACTGCTGAACTACCGACCTTCCACAGCCTGCAGTTCAGCGTCTTAACCACTTGAGCCACCGCAGCTCCTACCTTCCCACCAAAGTGCTACCTATTTATCTACTTGGAATTTCTTGCTTTTGAACTGCTAGGTTGGCAGGAGCTGGAACTAGAGACGGGAGCTCACTCCGTCATGCGGCACTCGGGTCTCGAACTGCTGAACTACCGACCTTCTAGCCTGCAGTTCAGCGTCTTAACCACTTGAGCCACCACAGCGCCTTTTAAGCCAATAAATACCAGTACATAAAACAACAATTAAAATGGCAAAAATACAGCATATATGGGATGGCGGGGGGGAAGCCAGCTCTCCAGCCTCCCTGGGGAGGAGGGGTTACGAGGGATGGGGACTTGTGTGAGAGTGCCGAAGGCTACCCCCATCACTGTCCTCAACCGATGGCCCCTGCCTGGTGGAATGAGCCCCCATATGAAATCAGGGCCCTGCGGGACCTTCTACAGTTGTGCAGGGCCTGCAAGACGGAGCTCTTCCGCCAGGCTTTCCGTTGAGGCCGTGGGTGTCCCCCCTCTCTTGGGACTCCCGTTCAGCGGGTCAGTTACCATCTGGGAACCCCGATCTGAAACAGACCTCTGTCGAGGCTCTGATTAGAAACAGAGGAATATTATTGTCTTTTATCTGATGTATTCCTAATTGTTTGTGTATTATATCTGATGGGACCCGCCCTGAGCCTGCCATGTAGGGAGGGCGGGATACAAATCTGGTAAAATAAAAATAAATAAATATAAGTTGGCTTGAACTTGACAGCGCTCTCCATCACCGCCGAGGAGCCTTCCTCCAAGTTAGGTGGCTCTTCCACTCGAGGAAGGCAACTTGGAGGATGGGTGGATCCATGCCCCTGGAAGGCTTTGGCGATGGAACCATCGGTCTCTAGGAAACATCCCAGAAACATCTGCCTGACACTTTGAGGTCAAGCACGATGCTCCATCAGGTCCCCCCCGGCTCCATGCCACCCCCTAGTGGCGATTTTGAGATCGACGGCCCCCTTCGGCTGGTGAGTTTAAGCAAGTTCTCCTTACCTAGAGTCTTGAGGGGTCATGGGTTCGTGACTAGGCCGGGTTGGGGTGGTCGGGACACTGTCTTGCCACTGTGAAGGATCTGGCCATGGGTCATAGCTGTAAACCCTACAAAGAAGAGGAATAACAGAGTCATTGCAAGAGGAAGGGTGCCTGTGACAGTTAGTGGAGCTCCAGCCTTATTCCTGGAAATGGGGTATGCGGGGCAGCCTGGAAGATACGCACGGCTTAAGAGCCAGGCCCACGCAGACTGTAGGGACTTTGCTGCTGCAGTGTTCATGGAACTTGTAGCCACAGGTCTGGCAACGGAAGCCGTAAAACAGGAACTTATGGCAGAAGTCACAGAAGGCCAAGTTGAAGTAGGTCTTGCGGACCTGCAGAAAGAGACAGGATGGTGGTCAGAGGCGGAGAAAGGCGGTCCTGGGCCATTAGAGCTGGCACCTTTTGGGGGTGCCCAAGGGATAGTTGGTGGGATGGTATGCGCATGTGATGAAGCGCAGGGGGGGCATGTAAGGTCACGTTCATATAGGATCCATGATTTAAGACGGACCCCTGTCTCTTCCCCCAGGCCAGGCAGATTTTCCCGCCAAAACCTTAGTTCCCCTCAGTGACTGAGTCGCCCCTAGGTAGCGTGTACGTCTTCATTAGCTTCAGGACTTAAACTGTCCCACCTTGTCATGGACAATCGTTTAGGCTTTCGACCCAGCACAGGAACTTGAGGGAAGATACAGGAGCTGTCTTGTCTTACTTTTAAACCCTGTCTGAAATGGCACTCGAGGCAGAGTAACTTTCGAAACAGAATAAAGATTTCATTTAACAGGCAGGGGATATTTAACAGGCGACTCAGTCACTGAGGGGAACTAAAGTTCTGGCGGGGAAACGAACGTCTAGGGGAGAAGTCAAGGTTTAGGAATACTGAGGTAAAACTTTATAATATATACAGACTTCAGATCTTAGAATATATAAGAAAGTGTGATTGTAGTATAATTTCAGAGTTAGACAACAATAAGGCAATAATCCACCTTTGGCACAGGCCGGGGAGGGGTGGAATTCAGGGCGAGCATGACCAGGTCTGGCCAACGTAAATATCTGAAAGGCTGAGTCCAGCCAACTTAGTTAGTATCATCCTAAAACAGGGTTCCCCAACGTGGTGCCCATGGGTGCCGTGGCGCCCACAGCCACTTTTCCTGGTGCCCATCAAGTGTTCTTAGAAAGTGGGCAAGGCCAGGTGGCCACTGCAGATCTGATTGGCTGTGAAGATTCTTAAGAAGTTTGCTTCATCAGAAGTTGTACGAATCAAGAAAATATATTTAAACAGTATGTTCATTTTAAAAGGCATCCTCTTAAACAGAGCATTTGTTTGAAATGCTGAAGAGTCACTATTAGAATCACGCACGAGCTCACTCCCTGAGACGTTATGGTTTGCTCCGCCTCTTGGGCAGCCATTTTGTGGTTGTCGCCCACCATCTGGAATCAGAATTCCAAAGCTGCCTGCAGGCCCCAAAAGATTGGCGACCCCACCTTAAGGTCTCAACGAACCATTTACTTGTGCTCAGTTAACAGAGAGCAATGCAAATCTTTGGGAAATGGAATTTTGGTTCCATTTTAGTTTGATTGCAAAAATTCTGGGATTTTTGCTTGAGGCATTTTGTATTGGTATTGGAATGATGGCAGGCAGCCAGCGGGGACTCAGGACATCTTCTTCAGTTAGGACTCCACCACGTGACATTGCTGCATGCATGAAATTGCCCCTCAGCAAACTGCTTCCCAGAGACCCGTCCTACTGCAAGGCACTTTGGAAGAGAGGGATTGGAGCGAATGTGGTTTGGCGGGTGGGGGGAAGCGCCGACATGTGACTAGACTCACAAAATTGTGCATAGTGAGTGGTACGTCTTCCAGAACCTCCACTGAGAGCTCAGCCCCTTCCAGTTTGACGAGGTCGGTCTCCCAATCCGTGATGGTCTTTCGCCTTCAGAGAGAACACATTTGGTGTGAATGCTGCCCAGCTGTGCCCCAAAGCCTGTGCTCCTAGCCCTGCAGTGGTGAACTGTGGAACTCCCTTCCCTGTGACGTTCACTGAACTCAGGAGGACTTCTCACATGCAGTCCATATGCTCCTCTCTTCTTCTGCCTGATCTGACCACTTCCTGTATGCAGGGCGTTTTTGTATGAGGGGGAGCAATCAATTATGTTTCCATGTAGCCTGGAATGGTGCAACCAAGACCAGTGTTCCCTCTAAGCTGAGGAAACCCTTTTAGCCTCCGGCTCACACATTTTCGGCTCAGCTCAGGGAGGATGGCTCCAAAGCAAACTAATTTATGCAGGCGCCAAATTGCTCGCTCACAACTTTAACGCCAGGAGCTCACCAAGTAGACTTTTTGCTCACAAGACTCCACAGCTTAGAGGGAGCATTGACCAAGACATAGTTTGACTATCTCGGTGCAGGCAACAATGGACACCATGTCCATACAATGCAAGCTGCAGGCTAGTGCAGCCTCAATTTGCCTTGGGGCCTGCAGGGAAGGCAGCAGGGGGTTTAACCCTTCAACTTCCACTCGGTTTCGCTATTCGAAACCCACCCCTCTGTTATGTGTGTGTGTTTTAAAGGTCCCCCTTTCTTTGACTGGAGTCACTCACCCGCCACCGACCTTCCTGTAGACAACGCAGCAGTCCTGGTTCAGCCCACGCACCTTCAGTGCCTTGTCCAGAGAGCTGTACACAGTCGTACCTGGTCGGATGGTCACCTGGAGGAAGCAGGGAGGTAGCAGGATGGGCAAAGCAAGAGGTTGGCCTCCTGGTTGACCTGTCCTCCCATTTTATTCATGCAGCCCCTCTCTAGCCTCGCTCTCCCTAGCGTGACAGCATCCAGTTCTAAAATCCCATACTTTGATTGACCTGGATGGCACAGGCTAGCCCGATCTCATCTCAAAAGCTAAGCAGGGTCAGCCCTGGTTAGTATTTGGATGGGAGGCCTCCAAGGAATACCAGGGTCGTGCCGCCGAGGGAGGCGATGGCAAACCACCTCTGAACATCTCTAGCCTTGAAAACACTACGGGGTTGCCGTAAGTCAGCGGTGACTTGACTGCACTTTCCACCACCATTCTTTGATTTGGGGCCCTCGTGCGTTCACTGAGTGGCTTGCTTCAGCCTCAGTCCCCCTACCTGCAATCACAGCAACTCCACTAACGGGGCCTGCATATCTTCGAGACTGCCTCTCCGCATAGGAGCCCCATAGAACGTTGTATTCTATTAACTAGCATCTCCTGGTAGACGCTGGCCCTCAGGATGTCCGACTCGCCTCAACTAGGGCTGGGGCTTATGAGATCAGGGCTCTGTGGGACCTTCTACAGTTCCACGGGGCCTGCAAGACGGAGCTCTTCCGCCGGGCTTTTAGTTGAAGCAGCGGGCATCCATTCTGATCACACACACACACACCCCCAGTGACCGCAGATCCTAGAAGCTGACTGGAACTTTAACATCGCTGGAATCCACACCATCTAGTGAGGCACACTGTACGTTTTTAGTGTTTTACTGATTTTTGTGAGTTTAACTAATGCTGTGCTGATGAATACATTTTAATTGCAAACCTGCATTACTGCAGAGCCGTATGTCTGGAACCCGCCCTGAGCCTCCGATGCGGAGAGGGCGGGATGCAAATCCAAATAAATAAATAAACAGCACTTATAGACACACTTTTCTAATCGCCGGCACCACAGACCGGCCTCTTGCCACTCACCACCGTTCGCTGCTGATTAGGGAGATCCACCTTGATGGTGCCCCGTCCGTCGGCCATGGCCCTCCCGCCGGGCCTTTTCCTCCGAGAGGCCCCCAGCATGGCTGTCAGGCTGTTGGAGAATGGCAGGAAGCCCCCGCTCTCTCCCCCTCCTGAAGAGCCAGGGTCGGGAGAGGGAGAGCTGAAGCCATTAGCGAAAGAGCTGGGAGAGTTCTGGCTGCGCCTCATCCGGCTACCTGCATAAAGAAGGAGGGAGAGAGAGACCACTCGTTCGTAAGCTTCGTTCCGAAGCTTCAAGAGACCACTCGGAACGTAAGCTTCGTTCTGTTCGTTCAGTGTTTCCCAACCTGTGGGTAGGGACCCAAATGTGGGTCGCGAAGCCTCTGAGAGTGGGTCGTGGACCAGCCCTCCCTAATAATAATAATAATACCTTTCGATTTATTGATCGCTCATCCTGCAGAGCTGCTGGCTCTGAGCGATTTACAGTTACACATGTTTTTCACAAGGGACTAACAGTATTTCATAGGGTAAGGGAGGACTACATATATAATTCTTTAAATCGCACACTTTTGCAGCCGACGGGGATTTTGTTCAGCTGTAAGCTTCAGGCGTGTTCCGGACGGCATTCACTTTCGGCGTGGCTAGATGACGTCAGTTCTTCCCAGACTGCTTTTTTGAGTCGTAGTGCCGCACTGCCACCACCTGGCCGAATTGGTTCATCACAGGCTTCTTAATGCCGAAGAGGTCTTTTTTCCAGGCTTTCGAGCTGGACCTTCCGTTCACCGGCTAACACCTCCCCCACGGGGGTTTAGTGTGCCCACCCTCTCTAAGGAGTGGTACCCATTTTATCTACTCACCGAAGCTTTCGAGCTGCTGGGTGGTGAGCTGGGGACAAGGCTGGTAGCTCACACCAGCGCGGGCTAGAACTGACAGCAGCTCTGTTCAGTTCAGATGTTAACCAGAGGATTTTGAGGTCCGCCCCTGCGCTTTCCATTGCTCTCTCTTGTATTTTAGAAACCGAGATATGACCCTGGAGATGGTATCTTCCGTGTCGTAAAGTAGTAGTAGTTGTTTTCACTGCATACCTGTTGGTCAAGTCAAACCTGTCCTGATGGTTACTAGAGTGCGTTTCTTAGAATCTCAAGGGGATCCAGGAGAGAAACGGAGAAGGAAAAGCAGGTCAAAGGCTGAGAGGTCGCCTCCGTACGCAAAGGCAGGGTATGTCGGAATGCCGCTTGCTCGGGTTCATCATGGGGGCAGCTGTGCCCTTTGAGCGAGGGTTGTTGGGTTCTCAGAAACTTCTGGTGAAGCCATTATAGAAAATGGAATGCTGAACTAGATGGGTGCCAACCAGTGTTCCCTCTAAGCTGAGTTAGTGTGAGCTGGCTCATAGTTTTTTTAGCCTCCAGCTCACAGATTTTTTTCTTAGCTCAGGAAGCAAACTAATTTATGCAGCAGCCAAATCGCTCGCTCACAATTTTAATGCCAGTCGTTGACAAAGTAGAATTTTTGCTCACAAGACTCCACAGCTTAGAGGGAGCATTGGTCCCAACGTCATAGTTTGACTAGGGGTCCAAAAAAGCCCTTGGGCCAGGTCATCAAAGCAAGTAAATTTGGACTTGTGGGTCACCATACTGAAAAGGCTGGGAATGGCTGCTTTATTTCGTTCCAAAACTCCAGAACTCTCTCTCTCTCTCTCGGAAGAGTCATGTGTCCCCTTCTGATGCCGTTTTCCACCAGCAGGTGAAGACGTCTTTGTTGCATTTGGTATTCTCGCAGTGTCCTCTCCTTCCCAACCAATGTTTTAATTGCCGTTTTTATTTGCTTGCATGTATTTTAGCTCTGTTTTTGTTTTAACAATGTATTTTTGTTGTGTGTGTGTGGGGGGGTTGTTTTATGTGCCTTTGTTATTTTAATTTGTTACCCGCCTTGCTGGCCCTGTTGAGAACAGAAAGGTGGGGTATAAATTTTGCAAAATATTTTTTTTAAAAAATCTGAGATTTAGAGCACAGTTTTCTTCCTGACAGGGACTCAGAGCAGCTTACAAAATCATTCCCCTCCCTCCTCTAAGAATAATTAATAATTATTCTATGGTATTGTGTGTAGCATAGCCAGAAGATCTGAAGATTGTCTGGCAGCCTGAAGATCTAGCTCTTTTTGTGGCAAGCTAGACTTATTTGGGGGGCTAAGTTCCGAGAGAGCTGTGATTGACCCAAGGTCACCCAGCTGGCTTCATGTGGAGGAAATGGGACTCAGACCTGGCTCTCCAGATTAGAGTCTGCCGCTCTTAACCACTACACCAAACTGGCTCCTCTAACTTAGTCTCACAACAACCCTATGAGGTAGGTTAGGCAAAGAAAGTGACTGGCCCAAGGTCTCCCAGCAAGCAGGCATTCTCCCCTCCTCCACCTTACCCTCACAACAATGCTGTCAGGTAGGCCAGGCTCAGAATGTGACTGGCACAAGGTCACCCATTGAGCTTCCACAGCAGAATGGGGATTCGAACCCGGGTCTCCCAGCTCCGACTCCAACACTCTAACCACCGTACCACGCTTGCTCTCTCCCTCTTCACTAACCACAACGGATTGCTATATTAAGGCACTATCCTAAAACCAGTCTGGAAAAGGCTTGGGACAGCAACTGAGCTTTTCGCATTGTTGCAACGCAGAGATGCACTCGGGTAGCAGCCCACCAAGGGGGTTTAAATCTGGTGCTGCGGTCCGGGTTCAAAAATCAGCAGTGTCAGGGGACAGCCGGAGAGGACCGGGAGTCAGCATCCTATGCCCTCTCTGCCCATCTTTTGCCCCCAGCGACGACTTAACGTTGAACCTTTCCCATCAAACCCAAAGAGAGCAAAAAAATTCCCTCCGCTTGCCTTCCACAATGCCTGCAGAGGCAGGACACCGCCTAAGAGACGGAGCGAGTCTGCGGACGTAAACATTATATAACCCCAGACGCAGGAAACCGCCTTAAAAGGCCCATCAGTGTCCGCTCTGCCTCCTCCGACTAGCAGCAAGTCTCCAGGGTCTCAGGCAGAGGTCATTCCCATCCCTTCCTGCCCGGTCCTTTTCAGTGGAATCGAACCTGCGACCTTCAGCATGCAAAGTAGAGGTTATTCCGCTGAGACGCAGCCCCTCCCTTGTCAGGACTTCAGGGCAGGCAGCGTGCAGCTGCATTTCTTTGGCCTCAGGTCAGGCACGTTTCAAACACATGCTGAGGTCTGGGGAGGACTTTGGTAATCGAAACCCCACAGAAAAGGCGCTCTGGACAAATCCCCAACCACGCAGCTGTGACAGGCTATTGCTGGCGTTGCTCTGCTCGGAACACTTATGGGTACCTGCAAACACGAACACCGAAACGGACTCCTCCGACTGGGGATGCTCCCGGCGCAAGGACTCCCTCCTCCGGCTTTGGCTGCTGCAAAGGCCCCTACCCCCGGCCACATGCACCTGCTGTGCACACAGTCCTTTCTCAAAAGCTGTTGTCAGTCTCCCCCAGTCTGGATCAGTGGTCCATCAGTGGCTATTAGCCACAAGGTATAGATAGGGGCTCTGGGGCAAGTGATGCTCTGTCATCTTGGTGCTTGGGAGGGTCAACAGTGGGATGGCTTCTAATGTCCTGGCCCCACTGGTGGACCTACTGATGGCAGTGGTATTTCTGGCCACTGTGTGACACAGAGTGTTGGACTAGATGGGCCTTTGGCCTGATCAAACATTGGCGTCTCTTATGTTCTTATGTTCATACTGGAGGTGCAGTGCAAAAAGGGACTGCCCTTTTGAGATCTCCTGGTGGAGAATCACTGCAGTGCCAGGGTGACATCATACCAGTGTGAGCCCACATGCTGGGGGGGGTAGGGGACTGTGAGCACAACCCATTCCTGGGCAAGTACCAACCACTCTGCCCTGATCTGGATTGGCCGTGGTAGCTGGATCTTGTCAGATTTTGGCTGCTAAGCAGGGTCTGCCCTGGTCAGTAAGAATATCAGAGTCCTGCTGGATCAGACCAGGGGTCCATCTAGTCCAGCGTCTTATCTCACACAGTGGCCAACAAGTTCCTCTGCAGGGTCAACAACAGGGCACAGAGGCAGAGGCCTTCATGAGAACATAAGAAGACCCCTGTTGGATTAGACCAGTGGTCCATCTAGACCAGCATCCCTTCATTAGAACATCAGAGGGGCCCTGCTGGATCAGACCACTGGTCCATCTAGTCCAGCATTGTGTCTCACCCAGTGGCCAACCAGTTCCTCTGGATGGCCAACAACAGGGCTGACAGGCTA